CTGCAGGCAGGTATTCCCCAGACGGCCTCAAACGAAGTTGTCTGGCCTGCTCGGTACGGAGTCTGACGTGTTAAATCGAGCTTGAAGGATTGCGTTTCTGCCATGATCTGTAGGTGCATATCTCTGTCGATGTTCCCTTTTGGCGTGGCCGTCCGCAATCATGTCGCGAGTGTCGCACCAATGTGTACGATGCACGATACCTCGACCCATCATCTGTCGTATCCAACTGACGTGTACCAAAAAGGGCCACTCGGTTGATTTCTTCAGGTCTTTGCTTGACAAGGGGCTTGACGACAAATTCCGCATCGATGGTCAAAGTGACCTCAACCCTCAGGCCGCCCATCTCCAGTATATCACTCAACCGAGTGGGTGCCAGCGAACGTGCGAGGAGTTCGTGCAGAATGACGATCGTGGGATAGCAGTCCTCCAAGCTACGGGCTGCTGCTACTGTTTCTGCTGAGTAGCTCTAGCGGACCTGCAAGCGGTGAGACTTGCAGTACGCATCGGCAAGATGGACAGCAAGCGCACCAGCAGGAGTGTTTCCACGCCGTAGCAGGCTTGCCCAGCGAATGCCATAGCCCTTGATCTCGTCAACAGCATCTCCACCCAGGCGCCGATAGCCGGAGTCGCCGTGCAGGCTGACCTCGCCCGTTGGAGTCGTCGATCGATAAATGATCCTCTTAGGGGCAGTGCAACTGCCTCCTGGTAGCCGCGCTCAGTCGTCGCACCTGCATGTCGGTCGGTGCTTGGACACGCTGTAGGGAAACGACATAGACCATCAACCACGCCTATGATTAACGCGTAAGCCAAAGCCCCTCTGAGGCTGACAAACATGTGAGTGACCATATTGGACGCCTTGGCGTCAGCGTCTGCGCCAGTGAATTCAGAATGTTGTATTGGACGGGTCTGTTTTATGTATTCGTCTTGATCCAGCGTAACGTTACAGTCGCCATCCTGTGTATATCTCCCAGCACAATTGGTATATGTATGTTTGCTGGGTTTAGATGCACCAGAATACATCCTCAACAAATTTGGCGCACCTGTCGATGGTGTCCTCAGCGCCCGCCATTTTCATCTAATCAGCGCGCGTGGCCGTGAGAAGGTTGTCGCTTGCGTCGAACTCCTCGTCGTAGGACGTGGGTCTGAGACCAAGCCCTCTCGTGGTCTTTCTGAGCTTCAGTGAGGAGGCTCTGAGTGCATTCTTGGTGCCCGTGCCTGGCTCGAGGCGCTGTAAACAGCGCTTCGACTCATCGTGGCGTTCGAACCCTGGGAGGGGCCCCAGCGCCGATGAGGATCCAATCCGGGTGGCGGTGTAAAGCGCACCAAGGGATTCATGTTCGCCAGCTGCCTCAGCAGATTCCTGATGGGTCAATCCCTTAAGGGGCGGCATGTTGTTGTCAAGGGAGGCAATGATCCAGTGCTTCTCACGCGCTGCCGCGCTTGCGCGTAGTCCCCGGCTCGACCGCCGCGCCGCCCCTCAGAAAGTCGCCGCGCCGAAGGCTTCAAGGTCCATGAAAACCCGAAGTGCCAGGCGTAATCTAATGGTCCGTTCCATATTGCCCTTTTCCTTCTTTATGAACTTCCACTTATATACGCATCTCGAAGTCATAATGTTTGACGCCTGTAATTGATCTTGCACCCTGGAACATGCGTTGTCGAACCGTGTCTTGATTGCAGTGTATAGATCCTTGGATACCTCGACTGGGTTCGCCTGATTGTCGGCTTCCGCGAGGAGGTCGCCCTCCTTGACGACCGCAGCTACTTTGGCGGCAGCGGTCACACATGCTCGCAGAGTGGTCTCACGGTCGAAATCTAGAATCCTATGTTGTTATATCTGATAAGACTACCTTTGACATGTCAGCCGCAAAACATAGATTTACAATTCCCGCCGGAATCCAAACCGTAAGAATCGTCTTCGTCCATGGAGCGCAATGGGACATGATATGTACCCCTGATGACGGAGTCGCGTGGGTGACCCCATGTAGGCAGGTGCCCCCGCTGTTCTTCATCTACTCTGACCAGCGCGCTGTTGTCGGTGATCATCTGCGCGGGTGCAGCGTAGGGACCATCTAATGGAGCTGCCTCCAGGAGTCCCCTTTCCTCCTGTAGTTCTGCGCACCGCACGTCCATAATCTGCGTCTCAAGGTCCGCCTCTGATTCCTCATTAATAATAAGAGGCCGTCCGTCCCCCCGTGGCTGTTCGGCTTCTGGATCTTCTTTGGCGTCGTTGTCTTGTGTCGGTGCGCCTGCCGGCTCCTCGAACTTCGTCATGTCTTGGTCGCAGCCCATGTGCGGTTTGGTGGACTCTCGGCAGTCGATGGTCCTCGAATGTACTTATCCAGTTATATCGTATACATGTAGGCAGCGCCTTCGGCTTCGTAATCTTGGAAGCCTGGATTCATGTCGTTGCCGTAGTCCACCAGTGTGCAACTGTCAGCATAAGCCACCAGAGGTAGCCTGTGGACACACTTAGATAACCTGACAGGGACTACGCTCTCGA